TCGGTGAGATTGCTCAGATACATGCTGCTCACAGAGCACAAGCGTTCACCAGAAGCAGCACGGCTCAAATCAGCCATTTCTTGGATCAAAGGAATTTCTGCATCATTGAGCACTTGTTCAATCTCAGGCACCAGCGAATCGTTGTTCTTGTCAATCCAGCCCTTGGTGCTGTAAGATACTGCACCTGTGACCGGTTGCCAAACAATACACAAACCCTTTCATTTGAACAAAGATCCGCGTGCGCATGTTTACCAACTCAATACCTTTACATCTCTGATTATCCTTAAATCAGTAGCGCGCGCCTGCGTAGTGTGCAATCTGGAAACCATCATGCAAACTGGGCCCACGGTCGGTGCGACTGGCTTTTAGCTTCAAGGCCATGATAGCCCGTTGTCCTTTTGTATCGATCAGCTCTCTGTAGACCTTAGCTCGGACTCTTAACCAAAAGCTAAAACAAACTAAAACCATTGATGCACTGCTGGCTTTAGAAATTGATAAAATTTACACTCTGGAAGATTAACATGGAACCTGACTTCCAAACGTCCATTTCCCAGGTTCCATGTTAATCTTCCGGGGCGTAAGGCTCATTGGACCAAGCAGAAAAACAAAATGGGAGAATGACGGGATACTGTGAACATGCGTGAAAGCGTCAAGAACACTAAAGATCCACTTAACTTTTCAGCTGCGGGACTTGTTCGCAAAATTTGGAGTCCTTAGCACCTCCCTCGCGAACCAAGTTCTTCACAGCACGTAAGCTGTGTTCATCCAGGAGCTTCAGCACTGAGTGGATCCCAGAGACCACGGGCGCGGAGTCGGGCAATTCCATCATCTGGACATTCAACCTCTCCTGCAAACAACAAATATATAAAGGAATATCATATATCTTTGGATGCATTTTGACTTTTCTCCACATGTTTTCTTGTGCCAGCGCTATGTTTAAAACAATAATGACAAATGACTTGACTTAAAATCTTTAAAGGTTCAGCAGTAAAACCCATTTTGCAACACATCATTTTTTCATACGAACTACAGTATATAAGTTGAAGGACAAGGTCAAAGGAGGGACGGGCATTCTGAGGTGAAGGAAACAGGTGTTTCATCGTGTTTCAGATTGTTTCAGGACTACATAGACCTGCGCCCGCCTCTGCATACATCCGCTGCTCCGCTTCCAAGACTTCCTCCACGAAGAACTGCTGCAGGCGCTCGTTGGCCAAATTGATGCAAAGTTGTTCGAAGCTGTTGGACTCCAAACGCTCAAACCCATAAATGTCGAGAGTTCCAATGTTGTGGTAATTGTTCTCCTGATACTTTGCACCGGCGTTGGACACGTGATTGATGCTGGCCACGATCTTGTCAAAGAGGCGCTTGTAGAGGATCTTGATGATGCAATGCAAGGTTTGCCGTGCTTGAGCCAAAGTGCGAGGACATCTGATCTCTGAGATTCTCCCCTGACGGTTCACGCGCATCTCCTTGAACTTCAAGATTTTGCGAACTGCCTTGGCACCTAATCCCAACAAACCGCATGCCATCTCCAGTGAGTCTTCAGTGTCTGGATGAATCTCCACATGGGCGGATTGCGTGGTGGGAAGGGATCGAGAGATGGATGTAAGGTCCGAGGCAGCAGCTGAACTGGCGCTCGGTGAGGCGCAGTGGCTTGGAGAAGGCTCTGGTGGTTGCAAAAATGCATCCTTTTCTTCCTCGGCTTCAAGCTCGACAAAGTCCACCTCACCAAGGTGGATCAAGGCACCAAGCACTTGCCAAATATTGTTCTGAGGTTCTTCGTCAAGGAAAAGGCTCAAGGCCTCCTTGAGTTCTTGAAACTGTTTGGCTAGCCGCCGTGCATCTGCAGATTCCTCAGCTGGTTGAGGCCCATTCGAGTGAATCAACTTGTAGCTCCGATCTCGTTCCAGACACAATTCTGAAAGAGCATCCTCATCCATACCAGACAGGAGTTCGTAGAAGACGTGATAGTTCTTCTCACCCTTCTGCTGGCCAACAACACGGGAACTCTCCAGTAGGAAGGTTTTGATCCCTGCACCGACCAAAGAGCCTACAGGATTGAACATCATCTCATTGTACTTCCCAAAGCGGGAGGAATTGAGATTCATCACAGTGGTCGCATTGCCAAAGGACTCCAAGATCGGATTTGCCATGACAATCTTTTCTTGAATGCGGCTTCCTTGAGCGACATCAGTCCTGGATTTTGTTGTCAAATATTTCATGGTGAACTTTGCGGTCTCCGTTTTCCCTGCTCCACTCTCTCCGCTGATCACCAAAGCTTGGTTTCTTTTATCTCTCTGCATCTGCCGGTAGGCGACATCTGAGATTGCATAGGGATGAGGTGGCAAGGTCCCAGGATTCTTGCCCCAATACTTGTCCATGGCCTGCGTGGCGCTAAGTGGGACGGGTCAACCCTGAAAGAACAAACAGCTTTGATCCGCCGAGCCTCCTTGGTGTACAAATGGGGGAGGGGCTTGTAGGGGTTCACAGCAAGCAAGACATTGGCAGTGTAGGTGTAGATCTCGTCTTTGGCATACCTCTTGCCTCATCCCATCCACAACTGCATCTAGATCTCGTTTTCACGCTCTCCCACTCGCTTGTCTTTGCTTTTCTCTCTGTTTCTTTCCCTCTATCGTTTTGTTTTTTTGGTATTTCTCTAAGCCAGTCGCGCAAATTGTCCAAAATGTTGGCATCGTCCAAGTGCACCATCTCTGTGTTATCCTGGAAGGTCCGCGTCTCCCCCACGTCGTAGAAGGGTCGCAGCTCGCTCTTCCGGACCTCGTGCGCCGCTCCTCCACGCGTGTCGTCCACATAGAGCGAATCACGGCCATCCTTTGTCCAAAGGGGATCGGCCATGCCACGCTTTGTCAGAGTCAAATGGTGATCAATTGGGTCAATTGGGTCCGGAGGGCATAGGCAGGAAAGAGGTGGGGTAGCTTACAAGTAGCAGTAAGGAGTAGTTACTAGTATTGCTACTAAGCGAACAAGTAGCTTCTTACGCACCAGGGCGCAGGCTAATTCTCAGGCTTCTTCAAAGCTTCTTTGAGGAAGCCTGAGCCTTATGTAATGATGGGATGTCTAGATGTTTATGGGAAACTCAACTTTCTTTCTTTGATTGTAATTGGTAGCATGTGTATATATTTGCGAAGAGCCATCAAAGTCATCAAACGAGGACAAATTTAACATCTCACTGGGTGTTGCCTGACTCCAGGTAATTTATTGGATTGAAACACCTTGGCCGGACCTCACTGAACCAGCTCCAACAAGCATGATAGTTAATTGCAGCACGCCTGGAAATAAACCCCCAATCGACCCAGGCAGCACTTGCACTTGCGCATGCCCCAATGAGCAATTAGCAGATTAGCAAAAGTGTTACCCCCAAACAAGGCCGAATCATGCTTGATCCGAGAGGCATCCACGCTGACGACCCTTGATCGGCGGTAGCCTCACGTGTTGTGTGCTATGCGCAGTGCATGTTGCTCTGTCTCTTTGACCCATCCATGGACCATTTAGTGCATCACATGTCAACAACAAAAAAACGTCTTCAGCCAAATAGCCACAGCTGGCATCAGGAGACCACACCCAATCATTGGGTGCAAAATGCGAGTCCCTGGGAGAGCCCTGACTGCCAGCACTGTGCCTTCCGTCCATGGCAGGATCCGCGTCAAGGCAGTCTCGTACCCTTCGAGCCGATTTGCTATAATCACACTCGACTGGCGTCGCACATCCAAATTCAAGAGGAATTGAAGGCAGACGAGGCCTTTGCATCCTCAAATGGAAGAGCACGGAATCAACATATGCCATCATAAAGATACAATGTTATGCATACAGCTGCCATAGATACGCAATTGTGCTGCAGCTTCAGTCAGACTGAACCAGGAAAGCTTAACCAGCTTAACCAGTTTCATTCCAGTCTAATCCATATCCAGGCATTAACGGGCCTCTGCATGACTACCCCGGGCCGACAAGGCAGAACCCCAACGGCGGTCGGTGGCGGTGCCTCCAGCTTTCGCTTCCAGCGTCGCACCAGGTACCGTCCGACAAGGCCGGCACCTCCGACCTTGAAATGTAGTGCCTTCGTTACTAATAGCGATGCCCTTGATACTAGTAGCCTTTAGCTACTAGTAGCAATGGCCTCCAACCTACTAGCGATGGCCTCAAACCTAGTAGCTTCTAGCTACTAGTAGTAATGCCCTTGTTGTTAATAGCGATGCACTTGTTAATAGTAGCGATGCACTTGATTTATGAAAACATCTTGAAACATATATGGACACATCGGCCGCGAAGAGGATGGCTGGCTATAGCTAGTAATAAGAGGTGTAAGTATAGTAAGTATTCAGTAGGCCGCTACTAGGCTTGGACGCCAACAATGCCCTCGCATGATGTTTTAAGGGTATATAACTTAACTTTAGAATAAGATAAAATAGGATAGAATAAGTATGGCGTTGCGTCTTGTGCCGCACCACAACGACAGCTGGCTCTCTCTCCATTTTGCGATGCCTTAGCGAAAGGAATGCACACATGCTTCCTGGCACGTGTGGATCGTGTGCCCTCTTGCCTTGGAGGACTGATGCCACTGAGTTCACGGCTCGGATAACTGGTTCGCGAGTTGGTCTGTAAATGTTTGATGTCCCTTTGACCTTTCTTTTGCTTGTAGACGTTGCAACCATTTTGCTTCATGCATGATGTTGCGCTACTGGCGATGGCAAGTCACTCCCAGCAGCCCCCATCTGATGAAAATAGCTGAAGCCCTGGGAAGAAGTAAAACCAAAAGAACGTTAACATTTGCACAGATCGCATTCTCATGTGGCCATGATTCCCAATGTGTTGCAGCAAAGTCCATTTTTCACACGAGCTGTTAGAGCCTGCCTTCCCAAAGAGCTGGACCTCCTGAAATGGGCGAAACTCTCGCCGGCTATGGCTCTGCTATGTCGCTATGCCGGCTATGCCTGGTAGGGGCCCTTTGGGCCCAAACATGGGCCGTAACGTCTCTCATGGTCCTACGGTTTTGGAGTTTGTGCCTGGAGTTGAGCTTGGGACTCCTGCTGTTTCGTGTGCCGCTCCAGCTTCTCGTCCACTTCCGCGTTACGGGGGAAGTTGGCCATGAAGGACCAACCCGCTGAGTGAAGGCCCTGTTGCCAAGCAGTTTTGCCTTCTGTCCCGAAGCAGCTGGAAGCAATGATGGAGAGAGCACCGTCTCTGGGTCGGTCATCAAGAGCTTGTGCCCGGGTCCAAACACCGCTCTCGAGCTCCAGTCGCAATTGAAGCTCAGTCCATGCAGAGTATCCAAAGCAAACACGTAAGGGAATGGAGTGGCTTTGCACTTCATCACCCTGCATGCCTTTTTCCAGTATTTCTCGACAATCTCCTCCTAGCCACAGGCCTGGAGCAACTTGCTTAGCACCAGGAACCTCAAAGAAGCCATGCAGCCAGTGCAGATTGTGCCGAATCGAGTTGCCAACAATAATGGGACCACCCCGAAAGACAGAAAGCCCGTCCAGCTTGCAATCGGATTGAACCATTCCAGCCCACTCTTTGTCTTCAGGAGACGTTGCACGGGCCAAGAGCTGCTTGAGGGGAATATTCGGCATTGGCTTATTCACAACTAGACCTTTCACCTGTGCATCTGGATTGCTTGGACTGCTGGACACCTCATGCAGAAGTATCACGGCCTGGTCGAAGTGGGTATTTTTCAGGCAAGCAATGGGGTGAGTCAGGAGGAGGTCACCTTGAGAAACCTGCAGGTGGCTTCCAGTGTCGAAACCTTGGGAGCTTGCAATCAATCTACAACTCTCAAACTACATTCGTCCAAAAGGCACGGAGCTCGCCAACAATTCGCCAACTCTATATATGAAGATATTTCGCTGAATCCCCTCATCCTACTCACCGTTCCTACCACAGAACTGGAGCTGGCGTTTTCCTAGCTAGCAGTTTCTGAGTCCAAACTCCTGTGTGGTGGATTACATTATATTATATATATGTAATGTCTGTATGGGCTTGTCCCAGTGCATTCGGCCATTTGGGAGGTGCAATGGCGACCAAACATGAGGCCGAGAATAATGCTCCAGGTGGCTCTTCAGAAGGCGCGGATGATCATGTGCCACTTCTGGCCCCAAGTTAGACACAAGGCTCTTGCTCGCGGCAATCCGCTTGAAGAGCTCTGATGCCTCCGCAGGATATAGTTCGCCCATGCCCAAGGCTTGTGCCCTCCGAAAATGCCGTCCTGAGCTAGGGAACCATTGGGTCAGCTGGTTGGATGGACATTCACAGCGGTGGAAACAGCACCAGCAGCTAAGTACGCAAAGCAGGACTCGTGGACTGTAGCTGTAGAGCAGCCTAGCATGGCCCAGCAACTCGAGAGAAGCCAGGGCAGTGAAACTGTAAAACCTGTTGTTTTCATTTGTTTTCAATCGTATGCCAGGCAGTTTGGAAGGCAACATTTGTGACATGGCTCGGCATGCTCTGGCAGCTCCGCCAGGACGAGGCATCGCAAACTGCGTCGAGAAGCCCAAGGCCTCTGGAAGACTCTGGAAAACAGCTTATGCCTTGAACTCTAAGTGCACCCAGGGATGCAGGAGTCAAATCTAACAAAGTAGGTTACACATATAGTTACCCGCCAGCAGTGCCAACCAGAATGTGGATTCTCAAGAAAAAAGCAAAATCTACCACCAGGTTCCGAATCTCTCCAGAACCTCCCTGCGCTCTTTACTTACATCTTTCGGCTCCAAACGTCTTGCCTCCCAAACCATATCCTCCGCAAAGGGGGATCCGCTGAAGCGTGTCCGAACCGCCTGGCTGGCAGGGAACCAAATCTGAAGTTTCAATCAGTTTAATCCCATCCTAGCCTGCGGGTTAAAAGACCAGAGTGAGTAGGGGCTCTAGGAGCTCCAGCCATCAGCTTGCTTGCTCGCAAAAAGTACAGTGAGTACATGTGTGTACTGCGGTGACAACATGTTCCCCATTCAGGCCGTTTCTTCTTCTATCTATCATGCACAAAAAACCTCGACTATACTAATTAGTAAGCTACTAGTAACAAGTGCATCTCTTCTAGTAACAAGTGCCTTACGAGTAGTAACAAGAAGCTATCAGAAACAAGAAGATACTAGTAACAAGTGCATCGCTTCTAGTAACAAGTGCCTTACTAGTAGTAACAAGAAGCTATTAGAAACAAAAAGCTACTAGTAACAAGTGCATCGCTTCTAGTAACAAGTGCCTTACTAGTAGTAACACGAAGCTATTAGCAACAAGAAGCTACTAGTAACAAGTGCATCGCTTCTAGTAACAAGTGCCTTACTAGTAGTAACAAGAAGTCATTAGAAACAAGAAGCTACTAGCAACAAGTGCATCGCTTCTAGTAACAAGTGACTTACTAGTAGTAACAAGAAGCTATTAGAAACAATAAGCTACTAGGAACAAGTGCATCGCTTCTAGTAACAGGTGCCTTACTAGTAGTAACAAGGTTCGCTATTAGAAACAAGAAGCTACTAAGAACAAGCGCATCGCTTCTAGTAACAAGTGCCTTACTAGTAGTAACAAGAAGCTATTAAAAACAAGAAGCTACTAGGAACAAGTGCATCGCTTCTAGTAACAAGTGCCTTACTAGTAGTAACAAGGTTCGCTGTTGGAAACAATTAAAAGTAATTAGTATACTTTCGGTCTCAAGTCATCAAGCCCGCCCGATTGAAGTTCCAGTCGTACTGCCGCGGCGGCCGCCCCAAGAGTCCCAGCAAACGTGCTGGCTGTTGATCACATTCTCGACAAAGCCGCAATAAGCTTCGAAAGCTACGGAGTTGGGTGCCCATGGCACAGGTCTCCCGATCTGAGATATGCAAAGGGGATCAGTGAAATTCAGTATGCGTTGCCAATCTTCCACGAGCTCTACGGCAATCTGCAGCCCGCATAAACAAGACCAGCTGAGTTCACCGTTGGTGTTAGTCTTCCGGAAGATTCTGAGCCTTGACATTGGGAAAAGTCTGTTGCATATCAGTGAGCCTTACTATGCCAGTTAGAAGTTATATGCTGTAATATACATATATATATATACATATGAACTATGTTGCAATTGTCAGTAGTTGTTTTTGGGCCAGGTGCCTTGCATTCAAGCAGTGGAAGTGATCTGGAGTGCTTTCCTAGCTACATCCTCCAAATGGAACATGTCTCCGAAAACCATGTTTTTTTGCGCTTCAACTTCGCACAATTTCATTGATGCAATAAGGCTTACGAATCTAGCGCTCTTGTTTTCGTCCACTTTGGACTGCCAGCTGGCATGCGTTAGCCGCCCAGGAGAGCAAGCTGAGGGCTGTGCTGAAGCAAGAGCACATGAGGTTGGTTCCGAATCAGCATAGAGTTCCTTGTGCTATTATATAGGTTCCTTAGGACCAACCTCAAATAGCAATGATCATATCGTCACAGGTCCAGTGCCCTCGGAGCTGGTGTGGTGGCAGGGTCTAGCGAGGGCTGTCCCGCTCAAGTCGCACAAGTGCCTAATCCACCTTAACCTGAACAGAATCCATGGACCCGCCTGACATGAAACCAACCGCCTGCCTTATATTCGCATTTGTAAGTTATTTTTCTCAGGATGGCACAGTTGGTATTGAAATCGCAGCCTGCATGCTGTCATCTATATAATGGCGTCTTACTCCACTCAGACACATACCTCTGGCGGTTAAGCCACTAGGGGAATTCCAAAATGCCCAGTGGGTCTCCGCTCATCACTATATAATTCAAGATCGGGCCAATAAGCGCAATTCTTCAGGGAAACATCTGTTGGACCTCAGTGATTGTCAGAAAGAATCCAATACGTGCCGATGTCTCGTCAGTCTATCTGTCCAGGTTGTTCACATGCTTCGCTATTCCACTATTTTGAACTATTTTTCACCCACGGGCGGGCCCCGCTATGCGACAACTGCCTGCCAACCAGAAAGGCCTTGAAAATTTGCAGCACTTGTCTCAAGACAAAGCGCGTCCCTGTTTCAACAAATTAAACCATCATGGTATTCTACGGCTTCAAGCCTTCACTGAAGGCCGCGGCACGACCAGCTTCTTTTCCCTCAATGCTTTACAGTGGCGACATCCTTTTCCAATCTGGCCAGCTCCTTGATCCACTCTGTGCCCGCATTGTCTTCGCGCACACATACACACACACAGACCATGGCGGCCTACTTAGGTAACACAAAGTCATACTATAAGTGAACCTGCTCAAATTTTCTTGGACGGTACCAGGTCTATGGCATTGTGCTTTGTCCTTGGACACAAAGACCCGAAGATCAACCACATCCTGTGCAAAAAGGCAGGATCATGGCATGGCATTTGCCCAGCTTCGTTGGAAACCATTGACACGTCTGAATTGAAGCGGCCAGCTTTGTGATCATTTGCGGTTCGCAGAACATGTCTATTAGTCTATATGTCACTATTAGTCTATATCACGAATCGCAAGATGCCTGAACTCAGATTTCCCTTCCAAAGCACCTGATGACCACCCGAACCCTGCATAAAGCTTTCAGCACTGAACCACGCCTTGACTGTAGCTGGGCTCTGACCACGGAACTGCAACACCGTCTCTATGAATTCTTCCAAGGATAGCTCAGAGGTGTCACGGAAAACAAAGTCTGCCTTGGCTTGATCCTACCGATGATGAGCAACACAATCAACCAAAGACCAGAATTCGCTGTTAAACTTGAAGAAATGTCAGGAAAACATGGTGTCTTGAAATGTCACTTCCAGGAGGGTTCACATGACAGTCACATACCAGCGCGCAAAGGATATCAAAGGATTGAAGCAGCTCAATTCAGAAAAGGCGAGCAAAGGAGCATAGTCCACCAGTGCCAGCACGTTCACACCACCTTCATACCTCGGTGATATCGGAGGCCAAGCAGAGCCAAGCAGCACATCTTTGTGCTCAGCATTCACAACTGGGAGAGCTAGCAACTTCTTGACCGCCACAGGGTTCTGGATCCTCAGGGTTGCAGGATCTCTGCAAATGCTTGAGGCCTTCAAAATCCTTTATGACTTGATCACCACTTTGATTCACATCTGGTCCACAAACTCGATTCCATCTCTTGTGAGACCAAGCGTCATATGTGTGAACTCCACGGCAGTCACGGTGCGGTCGTGATTCTCATCTGTAAGGTTCACCTTATCAACTAACCGGCCCTTCGTAAGGCTCACGAAAAACGGATAACGAAAGAATCACAAGCACAGAACTAGGGTAGGGATGGAGGTGTGGACCGGAGAGATTCGAGACGAACACCACCCAGGATACCCAGGTCACGATCTGCGACACCAAACATTTTGGCACCACGTGGCACCGAAAGTGGCAACCCTGCCTGCCTAAGGCTATCTCTTCCCAGTGGCTACATCGGCAATATCTCTTTTGAGAGTTTTAAGGCTCTGCTCCTCCTGCTCAAGTTGAGCAGTGGTTCCAACCACATCCACCATCACACCAGTCAGCATGTTCCTGAGATATGTTCAACGCGGTCAACCGATACAAGTACGTGATGTTCATGTGTATATAAGTGTGTGTGTGTGTATGTTTCTTTGTCTGATATGATATAGTGATCCTTTACATTTGTACATATGGCTATAGTGCAGTCTTAAATGATCTTGTGCATAAGCTCTCCGACGGCCACTCTGGCGCCCTCTCTCTCTCTCTCTTTCTCTCTCTCTCTCTCTCGCCGAGGTTCATGAGAGTCAGCGAACCTGCCAGTATCTGCCAGTCATTGAGGAAGAAATTCTGACTCTTCCACACCCAAAGTGCCAGGCCTAATAGTTGGTACGTCAGCAGGATGATGAATGACACCACATCTGTATTGAGCATAGTTGTCATAAAGCCAGCATTGAATCCTTAGCAGGGCGCATGGGATCCGCAACAATCTCTATTGTCAACAGCCTTCGGCATGCTAGTACTGGCTGACAAGCTTCCACACAGGGTTTGCATCAGTAGGAAGTTTGTGGCCGTTGCTACATCATCAAACTTCCCCTTTCCGACGTCTTTGTTCTGCAGAAGCTGAGTCATGGCCACCGCAAAGGTATATGTCACCAAAAGCAAGAGGATCAGAGTAGTACACACGGATCTCACACCCTCAGGGCAGGACGGAGGGAATGAACTCGGGATGTTTCATGACTCATGTGCGACTGTAGTCGAGCTACTTCGCAATTCTCAAAGAAACCAAACTTGCTCAAAAGAAAGAACCCCGGCGCCTGGAACATACCGTGCACTAAAATCATGAGTTCAGGGACTGAACGGAACAGTCGTGACATTCGGAAGGCCCGTGTAATTCGGATCCTTGGCACGTTCAGGACCTGTGGCAGTGAGAAGCTTTACCACCAACATCCCTGTGGTGAATGAAGCCAGGTGAAACCATGAAACTGTGCGGAATGTTAGACCTGAACAGCTCACCCAGCCATGTCTTTTCGTCCATTTCTTGCAAATAAGTTTCAGCCTCAAGCTTCTCAGGGCAGAGCCCATGCCCAAACCTGACTGAGTGCTGCGGCCAGTCACCCAATAAACAATTTGAGGGCCCCATGTCTCGATAGACATGGTCACCTCAGCTGATCGAAGAAAATGCATTCGAAGAAAAGAGTGTCTTCCTTTGTTTGGAGAGGCGTCACCTCGCATCTAAACTCTTAGGAAAACTTAGGTGCAAAATGATATAGATTAGGATAGATTATAGATGAGACTAGATGAGATGGGATGGGGGTTGGATTGGATTGGATTGGGTAGATAGGTTAGAGAGATTAGATTAGAATAACTTAGATTAGATTAGATTAGATAAATAGATAGATAGATAGATATAATGTTTATTTTGAGTTTGAGTCGCTCGACGGAAGTCCGAAGAAAGCGGGGCAAATAGATTTAATTTATATACATAGATTTAGATAGATAGATATACAAATAGATAGGATTAGATCAGATTAGATAAGATTAGAATACGATTAGGTTAGATTAGATTAGGTAAGCCAAATAGATTTCTAAAATAAGATAACATACATATATAGATAGATCGATGGATGGAAGGATCGATACAGTAGTTCGAATCCTGAATCAAGTGGCCATAGTACAGGATAGTACAGGACGTGTTGTGTTTGATGCTCATGTGATGCTCATCCAAGATGCTGCCAAGAAAAGGTCGAAAAGGAATGACCAATCTTGTAATGCTTGAGAACAGACATGGCAGGCAAGCCAGCGCACCGTGATCTCAATGCAAAAATATACCTTATATTGGAGAGAGAGGTCAATGCCAAAATTCCTCAAACACAGGCCATAAACTTCGCACTGAACACTTTGCTACTTGCTCTTTGCTGCTTGGTGGCACAAATGATGTTGTCCACTGTCACAAAAATATAGCGGTGCTCGCAATCTGAGTTGTTGTAGTCGGTATCGACTGCGATCCATGCTGTGCTCATCAAGACCTGTGCTCATCAAGACTCACAGGTCTTGAATCTTGGCCATCGTGGACCCCAAAGCCAACTCCCGAGTGGTTGCTTCACCGCAATTAGTGGTGGTCGTGCAGTCACCATCAGTGATTTCAATCCAAAGGTGCGGTGCGCAGTGCACATAGTGCACAGCGTACAAAAATGTGAGGAAAACACTGTAGTTTGTCATAGTTTGTCCATGTTTGTCCTTTCATTTAGCATCTATAGCACGGGTCCGGGTCCATCCACCGTTTCCAATCGGTTTTGCTCAGTAGAAGCGTCCTCTTTGTTCAAATGCATATGCAATTCCAGGGCGCCATGAACAAGGTGAGGCCTTTGAAGTAAGCGCTGCGCGCAATTTTTTGCCAGCAGCCTTTCGAAGAATAAATCTTCTCCGGATCCGTGGACTGGCGTAGACAATTGCGTTGGCAGTGTTTGGGGAACATCAGCACAGAATCAGCGGAAGAAATGCTTGAATCACTTTAGTCCAGCGCTATTGGGATGAAAGTCGCCACTCTTGGGTTGGAGACCATTGCTATTAGGATGGAGCTGGTTGGAGGCCAGGTCATTGCTACTACGTTGGAGGTCATCGCTCTAGGTTGGAGGCCATCGCTCTTAGGTTGGAGGCCATCGCTCTAGGTTGGAGGACAGTGCTACTAGGTT